ACGGTCAGGCTCTGGCCCCAGAGGGTCAACTGAACTCCCTTCCTAAGCACGGTGTGTTTCCATGAAGGAAGCAGGGTGCCGATCACGACATGCAGCCGGCTCCTTGAGCATTGTCCAGCCAGACCGTGAGCAGGACTTGGGCGCTCCAGACCTCTCCATTTCAAAGCTGAGGAGATAAAGGTTTGCGGTGTTGAGGGGTGTTGGGGGCCAGAACTACCTCTTTATAAAGTGAAGCACACCTGTAATATTAACGTAGTTTACAGTGTCTCAGCATGACATAGTAAATAGACCAAGCTTATTCTATGAAATTTTTAAGTTACTCAAAGCCAGAGACAAAACTGTGAGGAGACCTTCCAGCCTGTCTGGTTCCAGAGCCAAACGTGCCCCCTTTGCCCTCAGATTAAAACTTACCACTGGTTTACTCAGTGAGGACTCTCTAGCCTGAATAAATGTATTGGGGGGTGGGGGGTGCTTTTTAAAAAATAAAATGACATTAATAGATTTTGTAATTTTTTTTTTATTATTTTCTTATTTTTTTGTGCATGTACTAGCAAATCCAATCTGACTGGTACAGGAGGAGATTGTCCCTCCTTCCCCGGCAGAGCTTCCGGTGGATTCGAACCACACACCTCTGGGATTGCAGTGAACAGATTTTTTTAAAAAATGCATAATGTGGGGTTGAGGGGGAAGAGTTGCCACTTTATAAAGTGAAGCATACTTGGAATAGATTAGAACTCTGAAGTATTCTACAGCATCCACAACATGATGTAGTAAACAGACCAGCCTTGTCCCATAAAACTCCCTGATTACTCAGAGCCTAAATCATCTTCTAAGATTTCTCTCCATATTGGTTCTTGGGACCACCTAAAGATACAAAAACCCAGGATGCCCAGGTCCCCCGCGTGAAGTGGTGTAGTCTTCACACATTCTGCACATACCCTCCCATATACTTCCAGTGTCCTCCGTAGTACTTCCAATACCTAGCACAGCGCACATGCTGTGTACATGGCACTTCAGCTCCTCAGCCTTTGAAGGCTCGCTTTGTCCACTTAATTGCTGCCTTTTCTTCTTTAGATCCAACTGTACTTTCTAAAGAAAAGTTCCGAATAAAGATGATGCCCAGGGCTGGCTATTTTGATTCAAAGCAGCTGCTTGTATTTTACGTTTCGTAGCTGCAGCGGGGAAGGAGCTTTTATTCACTGCTAATCCTTCAGAGTCAGGCTAATGAGAAAGCTTTGTGAATTCCTCAAAAGCACGGTCACCCGTTTATATGGACATTAGCGACCTTCCTGTGTAGCAGGGAGCTCAAAGGATTTACAGAAATGTCTTCCCTTGGGGCTGGGTTCTCTGGGTTCAGATGCCGGTGGGCAGCCACCTTCTTCCTATCCTAAATTCTTGAGAGGGTTGTCATCAGGGACGCTTCCTGACCCACTTCTGTCTGGCTTCTAAGTTGAGATCATGAGACATGGTCTTTGGGTCAAAGCTGGGATGAACAGACCAGCATCACCCAGTAGAGTTAAATAAGCGTCCGTTTGTTGGTTTTGAAAACCAGTAGAATGACTAGTTCCCAAATACTAAAAAAATATACAGAACGGAAGGTGGGAGTGGAAGAGTTAGCTCACTTTGTAAAGTGAAACATACTTGCAATTAGAGCTCTAAAGTGTATTACAGTATCTCAACATGGCATCAGCCCAGCGGTAAGAAATTTTGTTTTCTTGAACATCCCATGAACTGCCAAAAGATGTCTGCAGATGTGTCTTGGAGAAAGTGCAAACAGAGTCCTCCTTGGAGGTAGAGATGATAATGCTTCACCTCACATAGTTCAGACATGTTGCTTGGAGAGGCTGTTCTTGGAAAGTCAGGAGAGGAAGACCCTGGGCCAGGTGCACTGACACAGTGACCGCCACAAGGGGCTCTAGTGAGTCAGGAGTTGTGAGGACGGTGCAGGACAGGACAGGGTTCAGATCTGTCGTTCTGAGGGTCACTATAGGTCATACTTGACGGCACCTAACAACAACAACATGGCATAATAAACTTTTGTGTCCTGTTGAATCATGAGGACGAACTCACAGCTGACCCTCCAGCAGGTATTCAAAAGCAGTTGAATCGCACTGGAGGAGATTACCCGTCTTTCTCCCGCAGGGCACTTGGCGGCTTTGAACGGAATGCTTTTGGGATAGCAGTGCAGCTCCTTAGCACTAGGCCACCTGAGCTCCCTGGCGTGGCAAACAGACCACAAAACTTTCAGATGACTCAAGGCCTAAACCATAGTCTGAAATTTCAGGGTTTGGTTTCAGCCCAACTACAGTCCAGTTTGTGATGTGTTCACATGGGTTTTGAAGAAGTACTTGCATTTTAAGGAAAGAAACTTTTGCAAGAACTGACAGGCTTTCCACTTCAGCTCTATGCGTTTTCATGGCTTTTAAAAAAAAATTTTTTTTTTGCACAGACACATAGTGTAAAAAATTCATTCTGTAAGAATTATTCTAGACATAATCGTCCTCTCCGTGCCTCACTCCTGGAAGTACCCATTTCAACTCCTTGGATGCACTGTGATTCTGACTCACTGTCACAGCAGAGCCCTAATTCCCTCTCTTTAAAAAAAAAATAAAAGTCCTTCCCTAGTCTGAAGAATTGTCTTCTTCCCAAGCCCTTCCACACGTTGGAACACATTAGCCACAGACCTGCCCCTGTGGGGTAGGCTGGCAGGGGCCTGTCACAGCCTCCAGAGGCCCCCGTAGCAGCCGTGCTGCGTGGAAGGGGTCCCCTGCCTTCATCTGATGGCTGCTGGAGCCCCAATTTTCCACACCCTCTGTTTTTCCTCCTCCATTTTTGAGTACTTGGTTTGGCGAGCAAACGCTCCCAGTTAACTTCTTGAAAAACTGTTTTGTGGAAGTAAACTCTTGGAGGCTTTATACGTCTAGTAAACTAGACCCATCGTTGGTCAGTGGCCTGGTTTGAAGTGCTTGCAATCAAAATCCTTTTCCCTTGGAATGTATTGCTTCGCGTCTCCCAGCTTTTAGTGAAATAGAGTGGCCTGAACCTGGATGCTCTTCACACGGTCTCTCTGCCTCCACGTGAGGTCCCCTCGGCTTTGATGCTCTTATCCCGCAGTTCCTCATGGTCTCTTCCCGAGACCCCAGTTATTTTCATGTTGGCCCCCCTGGACTGGGGTTTTATCTAACAAGAAAAAGAAAACAAAATCTCATATACTTCCGTGTCTTGGGCCTTCTGCCTTGTCTTTGCAGTAGATTTTCCCTCCTTTCTCTTGGCATTTAGTGACTTCTTCGTATCTGCTTTTATCCTCTAAGGTCTGTACTGTGTCTCTGTCCTGTCAATGGCCCTATTTTCAGAGGGCATTTACATGATGTTCTTGTCACGTACTGTTACCTTCGGTCTCTCAATGTCAGCAGGAAAGCTGTCTTTTGAGCGTCTCTCTGCATTGTCTCTGTTCCATCTAAGTCTGGAAGGTGTGAATGTATGTGTGAATTTGGTTTTGCCTCTTCACATTAGCGGGAGCTCTGGTGGCTTAGTGGTAAGGAATTGGGCTGCCAACCCAAAAGGTCTGTGGTTCGAATCCACAAGTTGTTCTGGAGGAGAAAGGTGGGCATCCTCTTCCCATGTGATTTATTGCCTCTGAAAACCCACTGGAGGGTCAGCTGTGGGTCAGTTCCGACTTGACAGTACACAACAATGACACCTTGATGTTAGAGGTCTTCCTCCGTGTTTGATGCCCTTGTTTCTGGAGGCTGTGAGCAGGTGGGTGAGGGTTCTCGCCTGTACGGCCCCCGCTGATGACTGATTTGCTGGGCTGTTTCCCGGGACTTGCGCCTGCTCGCTCGAGTCAGCCACGTTTCTCAGAGACCACCCTGACTCTCCTGTCTGGAGGGATGCAGCCGGCCTTCCCCGCTCCAGGAACGGAGTGAGGGAATGAAGCAGGAAGTCTCCGTGTGTCCTCCTCTCTGCACATCCGGCCTGTGCACCGGCTCTGCATTCAGTGCTGACAATCTGTTTCACCTTCTCCACATGCTCAACTCCACTTTCCTGCCAGGTCCCGCGAGCCACAGTGGGCAGCTGTGTGAGGGGTTCCGGGGGGCTTAACTGCTTCCTCGGCATCCAGCCGGCCTGGGCATGGACCGGCCTACACCCCAGCTGATGGTTGAGAGGGAGACACTGGCATCCCCTTCCCAGTTTTGGGTTCTGTTTCCTTGAGTCTTTTAAAATCAGCTGCCCTTTGCCCATCTGCTTTCCCAGGTTCCATATTGTGTTTGCGTTTGTCTGTCTCCATACTCGCTTCACGCTCTTTCTCATTCCTGGCAAGTTGGATCCGACCCATAGCTGACCCTGTGCTGGGTCCGGAGGCTGTAAATCACACAACAGGCCATTGTCCATCTTTGTCTGGAGGAGCAGCTTGTGGATTCGAACCATCAAGAGGCACCACCTTTGTGTTAGCAGCACAGTGTTTAAACCATTGCCCTCAGTCGGCTCAGTTCACGGTGACCTCGTGAGTCAGGCTTGACCTGTGCTCTGGACGTAGACCACCAGGCCTTTCCTCCGAGGTGCCCTGGCTAGCCTTGAACCTCCAGTCTTTCAACTATCATCCGTATTCATTAACCACAGCACCACACGGGAACTTGGGAAAACCATCTGGATCTGTAATTAAATGGCCTTGCCTAATCGTTAAGTGTGCTTCCTCAGTGTGGATTTACAGACGTCGTGTCTTCTGGGTCCCTTTTTTTTGTTCTGTTAAAGCCGTGAGGGTTATGTTAAGAAGCACAGGCACCATGAACCCCACTGACCCTCCCGATACCCTGGTTCTGCGCTCCTGGTCTCCTCTTGGCCCCCTGTGTTGCTAACAGGAGGTGCCTCCCGCTGGGTGCGGAACCTGTGTGCAGATGTGGGAGGTGGGCCTGTGGGTGTGCGGAGCAGCCCACCCCAACGCCGGCTCTCAGGGCTCCCTCTCCCCCGCCATCCTCATCCTCCCAACATCTCCCCTCCAGCTCTGCTTTGTCATGTTCTGGACCCCCAACGTGTCTGAGAAGATCCTGATCGACATCATCGGAGTGGACTTCGCCTTCGCAGAGCTCTGCGTGGTCCCCCTACGCATCTTCTCCTTCTTCCCAGTCCCAGGTAGAGGGCGGGGGAGGGGAGGGGAGGAAGACGGGAGAGAGGAGGAAGAAAGGAAGGAAGGGGAGGGGAGAGCAGGGCAGGGGTGAAGAAAGGAGGGGAGATAGGAGCCCCAGTTACACACACACACATATCTGGACAGACCTGGCAACCTTTGCAGTCATATCACAAAAAGAACTGTCAACCTTCTCCAGGAAAGACACAGAGCACCTTGCCATCCCGGAAAGGACTCCAGCAGGCAGACCGTGCCTTCTGGAGCACAGAGGCCACCGCCTGTCAGGAAGGCAGATCCAAAGGGGTTCCTGGGCGATTTGAGGAGCCCCTGAGGCATGATGACTTGTGCACCCCGTTTGGGGCAGGGGCTGCACTGAAAACAGAGATCACCCTCCAGAGGTAGAGGGAGCACGTTCCCGCTGAAGGTGCTCCTGGAAGGAGGTCCCCGGGGGCGAGACTCCAGGGGCTATGGAGGGGAAGATGCTGAGGGCACAGGGTGAGGCAGCCGGGGGTCCCCACAGACACGGAGCTGCCACAGGAACGGGGTGGGGGCTTGTTGTTAAGTGTGGTCACGGAGGACTCATAGCAACCCTATGGGCAATGGATGTGAACCCTGCACCATCCTTGAGCCCCTCGCTTTGTCAGATGAGCGGGGCAGTGTGATGAGAGGGTGAGAAACATGCTGCCGTTTGTGTAGCAGGCACGCGCTATGTCTGTGTCCTGTGTCCTCTGTATGTGTGGGACGCTCGCATATAAACTCCCTTTCCAGAGTTAACACTTGACACAGGCAACAGAGGACAGTCCTCTCGTAGACAGGACTGAAGAGATGCAAAAGAGAGTCAGAAACTGGACTCGCTCCCACCGTGGCACCTCTGAATCCCTCCACCAGTGCGTGTAGTGACCAGTGCACAAGTCAGGTGGAGGGAGAAGGACGGGCGAACCACAGCCTCTGAGAAGCTGCTGAAGGGTCAGCCGTGGGTCAGCGCTGACTCGACGACAGAGCGTTGCGAGCCAGTGCGGAAATCACATGTCACAGAGCCCCCCCCCCCCAAAAAAATCATTAAGCCAGGATCCAGCGTCACACAGTGAGGCCAGGAAACAGTCTCAGGTCCCAGAGCTCTGCTCCCCAGAGGGGGGCCACCATCCAGGCGCTGCCTCGGTCTCCCCTACTAGAAAGGAGGGGTCAGTGTTTGGGGCAGGACCAGTGTGCAGCAGCCGGGCCTGTGGGAACCGGGAGGTGGGGGTCACAGGTAGCCATCTGGCCCCTCTGGGAAGTGAGGGCCCCCAGGCCAGCGTTGCTCACCGGCCTGTGCTCCCCCACAGTCACCGTGAGGGCCCACCTGACCGGCTGGCTTATGACACTGAAGAAGACCTTCGTCCTGGCCCCCAGCTCTGTGCTGCGGATCATCGTCCTCATCACCAGCCTCCTGGTCCTGCCCTACCTGGGGTACGTCGTCGGGGCGCCGCGGGCCTCGTCACCTGAGGGCCTGTCAGGGTGGCGGGCCCACCAGGGTGTCTAGAACTCAAAATGCAGGAGCAAGTCTCACTTCCAAAGCCAGGTCTACATGCACCCACTGAGGTGGGCACTACCCCGGCTCCTCACACACAGGGACACAGAATAGGGTGCAACCTGACCACAGGGAGCCCCAGGTTTACATGCACCCACTGAGGTGGGCACAACCCTAACTCCTCACACTCAGGGACACAGGATGGGTGCAGCCCTGACCTCAGCCCCAGCTCCACATGTACTCACTGAGGTGGGTTCTGCCCTATCCCCTCACACACAGGGACACAGGGGAGCTCAGCCCTGCCCTCGGGGAGCCTAGATCCATCTATATCCCCTGAGGTGGGCACTACCCCAACCCCACACACACAGGAGCACAGGGAAGACACAGCCCTGGCTCAGGGAGCCCCACGTCCCAAGCTGGGGGTGCCATCCTGTCTCATAGACCACCCCTCGCTCAGCCACCTCGCTGGCCCCACAGCAGGGAGAACCAGGGAGACAGGTACAAGTACATAGACTTAATCAGTGATTGGGCCTGCAGAGTTGTGGGGCTGAAAGGCCCCACATCCATGTGTCAGACCCCAGGCCAGAGACCTCTTCCAGCCCACAGGGTTGAGGGGGGCTGCCGAACCCCAAATCTGCAGGTCAGGTGACAGTGGAGAGTCTGCAGACTCTGGTTCCTGGAGACGGGCGGAAACTAGCTTCTGTTGGGGGAGGGGCTCCTTTCAAGGAGAAGGGGGTTCCTGCTGGATGAGGGGGCCCATCTGAGGCAGCAAGCTCCTGTCGGGGTGTGAGGTGCAGCACCCCCAGCTGCCCTGTCCACAAGGAGTGAGAGCAGTCCCAAGGGCAGTCCCAGACTCTGCCCTGACATGACTTTAACAGGACTCTCTCTCTGTCCTCTTCCAGAGTCCACGGGGCCACTCTAGGGGTGGGCTCCCTCCTCGCAGGCTTCGTGGGCGAGTCCACTATGGTCGCCATAGCTGCCTGCTACGTCTACCGGAAACAGGTGAGTCCCCAGGGGCGTGGGCCCAGGGCTGCAGAGGTGATGGAGGCCAGGGTAGTGTGGAACGAGAAGGGGATAATGACATGGCAGGAGGATGTCCTGAAGTGGGGATCTAGGAGAGAGAAATAGACCTCCAGGAGCTGTGAGAGATAAGGAGGGGAGAGCCCAGTGGGGGGCCACGAGGAACCAGGCAAGGACACCTGCACAAGAGAACCCATCACAGGCGCCATGAGGGATGAGGGAGAACCCAGCACAGGAGGGATGGAGGGGACAGAACCCAGCACAGGGGCCGTGAGGGACGAGGAAGCACCCAGCACCCAGCACAGGGGCCGTGAAAGACGAGGAAGAACCCAGCACAGGGCCCACGAGGAATGAAGAGAACCCAGCCAAGGGGCCGTGAGAGACGAGGGAACACCCAGCACAGGAGGGATG